CTTTCATCTATTCGAATGTTCTTACCTAATTTTATGAAATGAAAAATAAAATATGAAAAATAAATTTTGTTATTATCAAAACAAAAATAACTAAATTTTTACCTAACTTAATTTAATTTTATTTCAGTTTGATGTTTTTGATACACTCGTTTGTTTACAAAATTTTGTTTCTTTCTTGCCTGCACAATTCTTATTACCAAGGAAGAAAAACTCTTATTACTTACTTCTAAAGCAAAATTTAAAATTTTAAGATTTTGGAAGTGGCAAGCAAACGAAAAATAACGGAATGAAACGAGTCGAACTACTTCTTTATAGATATACTTTGCTAGAAACAATTTTTATGTTGAAAAACATAAAAACAAAAAAGCAACATATTTTGTTTTGGCTTCAAAAATTATTATTTTCTAGTAATAAGTAATTATTAGTAATAAGTTTTGAACCATAAAATGTCTCTACTTATATAAACCAAAAAATTGAAAACGTAGAGAAAAATTTAAAATTTACTTAAAAAACTGTTATAAGAAATTAATAAGTAATTTCTTAAATTTGAAGAAATAAAAATTTTAAACTATTTGAGTTTAAATTTATTATTCCTTATAAGAAATATATTATCTTTATTTTTAATCCTCGAAAAAAACTGAAATCCTATTCTAAATTTTTTAAACTTTTGTTTAATTTATTTTAATATTTTATTTTAATCCCTAATGCGTTAGAATATTAACTTATAATATTTAATTTTTTTTTAGTCTTTTCTTTTAAACTTTTAATATTTAGGTAAAAAAGCTATCAAAATTATTATCCTTTTTTTTAAATTTTATGCGTAAATATAAGACATAGGCTACCAGTTAAATTTCCTTTTTTTATTTCATACAGGTAGCTTTCAATTTGAATCAACCAGTCCAATCTTTTAATTTTTTTATTTAGGTAGATTTTTAATTTGATCACTTTTATTTGTATTGCATTTATATTAGGCAATAGGCACGTGTGACGTGAATTGGTCAATTTAATTTGTATTTGTATTGCATTTTATTTATATTTGATCAGCGTTCGTTTGTTATACCCTGCACTTCGTGAAGGGTATATTAACTTTGGTATGGAGTTTGTAACTATTTGAAGGAGTCATCTGCGGTATGGACATATATATATATTCTTGCTCAGCGTAAAATTCTGCGTCGATTTAGACATGTCCGTCTGTCCGTCCGTCCGTCCGTCCGTCTGTCCGTCCGTCCGTCCGTCCGATCGCACGATAACTCAAAAACGAATAATACAATCGACACCAAACTTTCACAAGTTTTTTCTTTTGTGCCAAGGACGAGCCCTATTGTTATTGGACCAATTCAGACAACGGGTTCGGGTAGCTGCCTTACAACTCAAAGAGTTTATTTTAAATATTTCAAAAACTAATAAAGTTATAAATATAAAATTTTGTATACATGTGTCCAATTATATTCTACACATGCTCTAAAAATTGTAATGGGATAGCTGCTCCGGTTCGGGTGGCTGCCATACAACTCCAACAGCAAATTTTTTATATTCGGCAAAATAATAAAGTCAGATACATGAAACTTGGCAATTGTGTGTCGAGTTATAGGCTAGATATATTTCTGAAGTTTTGGTGAAATCGCTTGGCAGGTTCGAGTAGCTCCCATACAAGTCTAAAAGCTTATTCTCAATATTTAAAAAAATAATAAAGTCAGATTCATGAAACTTGGCAGTTGTGTGTCCGATTATAGATCAGATATATTTGTGAAGTTTTGATGGAATTTCTTGACAGGTTCATGTACGTGCCATACAACTCCAAAAGCTAATTTTAAATATTTGGAAAAAATTATAAAGTCAGATTCATGAAACTTGGTAGTCGGATGTTCAATTATAGGTCAGACATATCCGTGAAGTTTCTATAGACTGATTTCACAGGTTCGAGTAATTGCTATACAATAACGAAAGGTGTAATTCAATCGGTTTATACCGAGTGAAACGTTTTTACTTGTTTTACTTATCATTTACTTTTATCAATATTTCATAATATAGGAGTATATCGTTCGTTTTTATGAGTATTGGATTTAGTATGTCGTTCAATTTTATTAGTAATGTGTAATATTAATACAGAAAGAAATAAGGAATAATATAAAATGTATATCAATTACCAATGTATACGCAGTAATTTTTTTTAATGACTGAAAAAGAAAATTGGAATTCTTAATAAACGATGAACAGTTTATTTTTGAAGAAGTGAACTAATCAGCTAAGTTCAGCGAAGTGATTCGTTCTTTAAGATTAGTTCATTGGCGAACGACACATGGCTATACTCAAAAAAAATAATTGTAATTTTTACCAAGTATTTGGTAAAAAACGCTGTACAATCATTTTTTGGTGATATTCACAATTTTTTTGTCAAATTTACTAAATTTTATGAGAAAAATAGTAGTTTATCTGTATTTTCGGATAACGTTGTAAAGAAGCATTTATTGTATGTATTGCACAAATTTTAGTAAATAAATACATATCTATCTATCTTTCATTGAAAGAAAGTACATATGTACCATTATTTTCGCTATTTGGTACATTTCTATATGTGTTTTTAAAAAAGGTTTTAGTGACTCAAGAAAAAATGTTACTTACACGAAACACGATTTTCAAATTTCTTTCGAAAATAAATAACGTAACAATACATGCATATATACATACACATTTTATATAAAAATTAGTGTGACTCGTTTTGATCTGGTATGGAAGAATTATTATATGTGCCGTTGGTAATCAACAAGTAAGAAATACTAAAGAAAACAATAAAGCCGAATTCTTTGAATTTTGGACATCTTATATTTCCAAAATTGCGAGCTTTTCTAAATTTCTATAAATTTAAAAAGCTAACGGTAAATATCATGCTATTAAAAAATATAATTATTTTTTTTAACTCACGTGATTCCTTAAATTAATTTAATTCAAGCATTATGTTAACGCCTCTTTAAATTTTTCTTTTGTTTTCATTTCTCACTATAAATGCATGCAATCTTTGAAATGAAATTTAACTTAAGAAACTTGCGAATCATGAATTATACTTAACACTATTGAATAAATATTTAATCTAATTATTAAAATAAATATATTGACATGCATATGGAAAACATTATTTTGTTTTTTGGAACGGAAATAATAATTTGGAACTATACACTTTTTTCTCCAAAAAATTTTACTCAATTTTTGGCTTTCTATAATTGTTTTATTTTCACATTAAATAATGGTTTTTTTAACACTTTTTTCTAAATATTTTATATTTCTTTAACTACACTAATTTAAAAAAACAAGTTACAAAAATTTCTTTTACTTTTTTCACCAGCGTCGTTAATTTTTTCAATAAACAAATAACAAAATTTGACATTTAACATCGATTTCAATTTGACAATGCTTGGAACAAAGAAAGAGACCCTGAAGGTTTTGGTTTTTTTTCAAGATACGATTCTTAAGGGAGTGCAAGCGAGATAAAAACGAAATTGCTCCTTCCTTTAGTATTTCTAATTTGCTATAGTAAATTATAATTTTTGAAGCTAAAATAAAATATATTGTTTTTTTGTTTTCATTTTTTACATCATAAAACGTGTTTCTAGAAACTGTTTGAAAATATGGTTAGGAAAAATTAATATAGTTAGAAATTTATGTGAGTTTACTTTTCAATAAAAAATTTTTAATTTTCCAGCAATATTATATGCACATACATACATATTGTTATTTTAGGCATACATAATTATTTCTTCAAAATTAAAATAAATTATGTTTACTTAATATTTCTGCATATTATTGCTTATGTTACATTAAATTATTTACCGGAAAACGAAGTATTTTTTTGTTAGATGTTGGCGAATATTTTTTGTTCTTAAATCTAATATTAAGCGTTTGTGTTCATGATAAAGTCTAATTTTTGCATAATTTTCATTTAGAAAACTTTAAAATTAAATGAAAGGGATAACAAAACAAATTCACTGTGTATGGTACATAACCTAGTAAAATAAAACTAACTCATTGCATTTTGAAATTTCGTTGCTTACGTTTACATCAGGGTAAACCATACATCACAAAGTACTCAAAACATACCTGTTTTAACAGAATTGTTGTTGCGATCATTTCCTATTAAGCAAACAGGACAAACAAGTAGTTACTACTAAAAAATAATTTTTGTTTTACAGTATGCCCGATCATGCATCTCACTTTTTATTCACTTTAATGTAAGTTTCTAATGTAAGTTTCACTTTACCAATAAGATTACTCATTTCTTTAATTGGATTTTTGCATTTTTTCTCAAATTATCGACTGAACGTCACTTTCAAAAACAAAGTGAATAAGTTTTGTATACATTTCAGAAAAAACGAGATACGCAATTCCAAATCATTCTACTAACTCTAATTTTCGAGTACATGATAGTTTTTTAGAATATACTACACTTAGGCCTAACAGAGGTGACAAAATAACACTAACAGAGTACATTCATTGAGTACTCATTTAATTTAGAAATATAACATTCAACATTACAAAGCTCACAACCTTTTTCTAACATAAAGTCATTTTCATACAAAAAAATTATCAAAAGTTGTTTTGCCTTGATCACTTTCCCATTCTCTCATCTTTTGTTCTTTCTTCAAATTAAAATTAGAGAACGGAATTGTTGTTGCAATTGGTTCTAATTTATTATTTATAAGCGGAGCTGACTCTGAAAAACATACCATTTGAATAAAACAGAGTTAAAGAAAAAAATTGCAAATAAAAAACTCAAAAATGTGATATCGTGATTCGTGAGATCATAATTCATAGAGATATGTATACATTTTTTTCTCTTTCATAATGAAATGAGTGATAATATATTTCATATTTTATATAATTGTATGTAAATATTAATATTAATATAATTGGACATTTCATATTTAAATACAAAATTAATTACATAAACAAACAAACATTAACATTATCTTATTTTCCCTTTTTGTGTGAGTTGGAAATATTTTAATTCATGTAAGAAAGAGCTAAAGAAACTAAAATTGCAAGTATATAAAAGTATATATTTTAGAACAACTTTGATTCCAGTTTATCATAATGTAACACTTTTTTTACTTTTTTTTTTAGATGTAGCAGGTATTTTAAAAAGGTTTCGAAGATAGCGATCCAAACTACCTATCGCATAATTAATACCTTACCTCATCTTATTCCAATAAGTATACTTTTTCTGCTCTAATAATATACCAAAAATAAGATTTTACGTCAACTTTACTTTTTGATTTTTTGTTCATATCAAAAATAAAACGAATATCTATGACTCGTTTGAAAATAGAGTTGAGTGGAGTTACTCAGTTTCTTGAAAACTTATTAAAAATCTGTACGCATTATGTAGATACATACTAAATAAAATAATACAAGTTTCTGAAATGAAAGGACATACTTTGTAGATGTATGCATTATGAATAAGTAAAAAAGTAAAGTTGACGTAAAATATTATTTTTGGTATTACAGACTTATTTTGTTAAAAGCTGAGTTTTGCTTTATTTTTTGTATGAAAATGGCCTTATTTTTCAAAGATGTCGTTACTCTTGGAATGTGCACATTTAATGGTTGTGAGAGGCATTTTTCCAGTGCAAAATGTACATTTTTGTGCACTTTGGTTTGTGCCCCTTTTGGACGAACTGTATGCCACTCTAACCGTAGAGGTAAACGGAAAAATAATTTCTTAACTATGTTAATGTTTATTCTCTTTAGTAAATAGGAAATAATCAGAAAAACAATTCGTTTAAAGCAGGCATATTTTAAGCATTTTGTGATGTGTGGTATTTTTAAGATAACTTTACTCTGATGTAACCGTAGTCAATGAAATTTAAAAATTCAATGATTGTGTTTTATTACACTAGTTAGTGTATAAAATTATAGTGTCTTTGAGGCGACTTATATCACATAATACAAAGTGGTTTTATTCCGTTATCCCTTTCATACATAATATATACGTTCATGATTTGGATAATTGTATTTTAGATAATCACAGATTAAGTTTAATTCTTATTAATTAAGAATAATAACAACTGAGCATATAAAAAATAGACTTTATTGCAAAGGAAAACGCTTAACATCGGATTTAAGGGAAAAAAAAGTATTCGCAAGCATCTAACAAAAACTATTTTATTTTCCGGTCACTAATTTAATGTAATATACTTGAGCAATAGTATAGGTAAACAAAATTTGTTTTAATTTTGAAGAAATAATTATGTAGGCTTAAAATAAAAATATGTATGTGCCAGTGCATGTATTGTTGAAAAATTAAAAATTTACTCACATAAATTTCTAATTATATTCATTATTTCCAACCATATTTTCAAACCGTTTCTGGCAACATTTTCTATGTTGAAAAAAATAAAAACAAAAAAACAGTATATTTCATGTTGGCTTCAAAAATTATTATTTGCCAGTTATTCGTGTATTATTTGGTTTTTGAGATAAATATTTTTGAAATAGTACTGAAGAAAATTCATTTTTATTTAATTGTTAATAATAACAAGGTGAACAGAAATAAAATTCTTGTTGTGATTTTGAATAAAGTGTTGCATGTGACGAGGTGGCCGAGTGGTTAAGGCGTTGGACTGCTAATCCAATGTGCTCTGCACGCGTGGGTTCGAATCCCATCCTCGTCGTAATTTTTTTTTTAATTTTCAAGAATGTTTCTTAATTGCATACATACATATATTATAATATCTTTTATTTTTTGTGTTTTTTCTAGAACAATAATGAATGAAAAATTTTTTATTATACATAGTTGTTACATACATACATATGTATATTTTATCTAACTACTAAGTTAATTGCAATTTTCGTTGTTTTATTGGTAGAAAAACTTTGGTATACCTTTGGTCAAAATATTATTTATTATCCATATTACATATAAGTATGATATTTTACACTATTGTGCTATTATGTACGTAAGTGCATTTAATTACCTGTTTAAGCTGCTTTATTCCCCTCATACGAGTATTTTTATAATAATTCTTTGTTAGTTGAACAAATGTTGCTTGAAGAAAAATTCTCATGGTCGAATACACAAATGAGTCATTTACATTTATAAATGTAATATTTGTATGTATTTTATATATATAAATATTACATAGCCTAGCTATGCACAACGTACTTTTCGTTTATGTGAATTATCTACCAATATTAATTATTTAATTATTAAGTATAAGTAAAATAAATTGGGATAATAAAAAAAACTAAAAGGAACCTCCCCGGCGGGGAATCGAACCCCGGTCTCCCGCGTGACAGGCGGGGATACTAACCACTATACTACCGAGGACTGTTTTTAATATTTCTTTAACATCATTTTGAATCATTGCTATATTATCAGTGTTTTATTTTTATACTAAAACCTTTCACGGCCAAGTAAACGTATAGGACTTACAAATTTAAATGTATGAATAATGGACATATGTATATATGCGTTATATATATCCACTAATATAACCTATTACGCACAAATTATGTTGTTAAAAGAAATTTGTTTTTTGGAGTTCTTATTTGAAATATAACTTGGGATCATAAATACATACATATTTCTAAGATTTTTTAAATAGTTTTTTTTTACATAACATTACTTATTTCTTTTTTATGTACCTTTGTACATACATATATTATACATTATGTTAGTTTACTTATATTTCAATTTGTATTACGTAAATGTGTGTTATTATTTATAAATTGCGGCTCAATAAGTCAAAGTTATAAAAATTTGGAAAAATAGTGGAATGATTAGTTCTAATGAAGAAAGGTCTAAATAACTCAACAGTAATAAAAACTCTATGTTTTCTAATACTTTATGTTTGCTAAATATTTGAAAATAAATGTGCGATTTTTCATTTTACATTAAATTTTGAAAAAATTTAATAAAAAAAACGACGAGGATGGGATTCGAACCCACGCGTGCAGAGCACATTGGATTAGCAGTCCAACGCCTTAACCACTCGGCCACCTCGTCACGATGCAAGGTCGCTTCAAAGAAACTTTTTTTATCTTGCTAATAATCAAATTTTAAACTGTAGTTTAATATGTAGTAAATTTTGAAAAAAGTATTCAAGTATGTACAATTTATTTTAGTTCTTCTTGCATAGATCATCTGATCATTATCACAAATAGATAAATATTTCGAAAAAAGTTTGTATTTAGAATTTCACTCATACCTGATTCTGATCATTATTTGGGCTAGATAAATGTCTGTAGGCTGGTATAATAATGCATAGTGGTCTGGTATAATATACGCGGTCTTACACATAAAGTTGTAAATAATTTCAGGGACAATTTTTTGATTAATTTCCAGTAAAAAATCGAAGAAAATGAAAATTTCTGTTACAAATATTCGTAATTTCGAATATTTCAAACCGAGCGCATTGTTCTCAACCCTTTTTTTCAGTAAATGGGAAACTTTATTTTCATACAAAAATTATTAAATTTCAGACAAGTTTTTCAGTAGAAAACTCTAAAAAAACATATTAAGATAACATAATACTTGTAAAATAAAAAAAAGTAATCGGTTTTTGGCAATGTTTTTTCTATGAAATTACATAAAGTAAAAGTACTGTTCAGATCTGTTTATGTAATTTGGTGTCAAAAACTCATGGAAACTAAAAAAATTTGACTTATACAGAGCTGATGATTATGTACATACATGTATATATTGCTATTTATGAATTCACAAGTTGAGAACTTACCTGGTGAAACATTTTTCCTGCAGTTCTTTGTAAAATATGAGTTCTTCTTGCTATAGGTGCCCTCGTTGCATTTATATTAGGACCAGACGGACGATATGTTGTCACATTATGTTTCATCCATATAGGCCAAACTCCCCGATTACACATGTGAACAAAGTGGGCGCATTCTAATAATAATGCAGCTCTGGCGACTATTGGAGCTTGTGGCTGAATAAAAACAAACAAAGTTTATTTTATGCATATTTTCTGATTATATTTATAGATGGTTCCAAATACCAAATCTAAAGTAGCAGCAATTAATTGAGGATCAGGAAAAGAGCCTGGGGCAATCGTTTCCAATAAGAATGAGAATCTCAACATTCCTTCTCTTATAGGTTCGCATGGTACTAAACGCCTTTCTTTCAAAACAACAACCTCTGATTCCTTTGGACCTTCTCCAGTATCCGAAGAACTTCTGCGGCTTAAATCTAAAATATATATCTTTTGAATAAGTATTTGATTTGTCAACTAATTTTACTTTATTCAACGGAGTAGAGACTATCAAGATAAATAACCTGTTGTAACACACTTTATAATATATGATAAGTAAATTTTACCATATAAATGAAGTATGTTACAAAGGTAAACTGCTTTTTTTTCTTACCAAAATAAAATAATGAGATCTCGTCATCAAAGTTTAGTTTTTTTTATAAAAATATACCATTGAAGTTTAAAATTTAAAAATACGTAAAACAGTACAGAAAGGTGAATTTTTTTTTGTTTGACTAATGAACGACGTGAACTATGTGTGTATGTTAAATTGTACCTATTTGCAATGGGCACGGCGTTGTAATAATTTGAGATGATAATAATCGAATAAAAATATGTAAATGAATACATTGTTCATAATAAAATTTAATAGAATTTTTAGTTTGAAAGAAGAGTGAATTAAATTTTTTTTACGAAATTTGCTTCTTGTTTCATTTTTTACGATTTTTTTTTTTTGTGGTTTTGTTCTTAATATTAATTTTTTTTTTGGTCTTAATATTAAGTGTAATTAAATCGCCTAGAGACACCTAAAGCAAATGCATTAAGGTTAAATTTTATCGAAAATATTGAAACAAAACTAAGACATGAATATACATATAAACATAAATAATTAATTTAATGTAGGAAAGAAAATTTAAAACAAATCAGGTTGCAAGCAACTCCCAAAATATGAAAACTTATATCAATATACCGTCCCAGCAATAGCCTTCGCGAATTTTACATCACGTTTAGTATGTAACACTCGTTTTTTATAGTATGTTTGGTATGAAGCTCTGCAAGAATTCGTTCAAATTGAAATCAAACATTAATGGGTGGATTTCAATAATAAAACCTACAGACCTAAATAGTAAAACAATTTTTTAGTTTTGAAAACTGAAAATTTTTCAAAAAACGTTAATTTATTATTTCAAAGAAGTTTGGTTTTTTTTCTGGATGAACTGCATGTACTTCCACAACTTTGCTTAATTTTTATTGCACGCGTGCCATTTTGCAGACAATCTGATATGTAATTCGCAAAAACCTTTTCAATCCGATTTTGTTAGCCATTCAAAACTATTCCCAAACATCTGAGTCCCGCCCCCCTTCCTTCAGAAAAATTATACAAAAGTGAGAGACTTTCATTGTAATTTTAAGAAGTCATTTTAATCTAATATCTTAAATCAATTTTATTCCTTAGCTCAAAATATGGAGTAATATTAATGTATAAAAAATATTACGCCAATTAAACCAACTAAAATCTTATAAAATCAATTGATAACAAATAAAAAGACAACAATAATACGGTACAAGTTCGCATTTTTACGCATATAAAGAGAATAAAGTTGGATCAAACCAATGGTTTGTATTGTAGCACTTTTCCCTTCAACAAGTGAAAATACTGCTTCTAAAATACAGTCTATGTGTATCCACAATTAAAATTATTTTCATTCATAAACGAAACTATTTCTAGGATTGCATATATTTAGGATGAACGATTTATGCAGTCTTTGAAATAAAGCAAAAATTAATAAAAAGTGGGTTTAACATAATGCTCGATTTTAAGGGTAAAAAGAAAAGTAATTGTACTCGTATTTTTTAATGTCATGGAATTTATCGTTAGCTTTCAGAAATATAAGGCGTCAAACATTCAAATTTTACAAATTTCATGTGGCGGTAACTTGAGAGGGGGTGGAAATGGAAAGAAATTTTCTTCTAACGAAATGAAGCATTTATTAGTGTCTAAAAGCTGGGGTCTAGAAGATAAACGACATCAAAAATTTGGAAAAAACAGACTTCAGATAACGGTAAATTTGAACGGCCATTTTGTTTTTCTAAAGTTAACCTATAGTATACCGCGCTAGGGGAAGCATGGTGTTTGCAAAATTTGGAAAATGCTTATGGTTTCATTGCACTAATTAGTAAAAAAATGTCATTTTTAGCGTTTTGGGGAGGTATAACTTTTAAAGGGGGGAGATAGATAAAAATTTTGTTCTACAGAAATAAGTTTCTAGTAAAGATCTATGCAAGTATTAAATTTCAGCTTTCTATCTGCAAGGGTGTAGAAGTTTTGTAAACAGACACACGGACAAACAGACGGACGGATGGACAGACAGAGTAAAACTAATAAGCACTTTTTTTCAAAACATTTTTGGAAAAATGCTAAAAATAATGCAATCGGGGTGTCAACACTATGAGCTTATAAATTTTTTGGAAATGTTAGGGCTCGGAAACCGAACAAGGCAGTTTGTTATCATGTCTATGAAGCTAATTGATGGAATTTCCTAAAATTAGAAGTTTGAGTTCCGAAACTAACTGACGAATTTTTCAAGTACCAAATGGTTAGCATAAAATGGACCTCTGATAAGAGCTAAATTTATATTTTGCTAGGTATGTTAACTCAGAGCATACTAGTCGCCCTAAAATTTAAGAGGAGTATTTAAAAGGCATTTTCGAAGTCACATGCAACATTTCAGCTAAACTAGAAAATATCTTGCGGTCATGTGTTCGCATCAGATATTATAACTTATTATGTTAGTTAATATGTTAAGTTTATGTAGAACCTAATGTGTTTATTACATCTGTATATTTAGCTTCATTTCAATATAAATTTATTCTTACAGAGCACTACTAAATTATTCATATCAAACATGCGATTCATGCTCGTTGTACTGGTACTAGAGTCAGCCGACAATGCATTTGGTGAGTGGTGAACTTTGCATTTTTGTTTTGAAACTTAAGTTCATATTCATTTCAAATCATTACTTATCGATTTACTATAATGAGCACTTCGGGTATATGAATGTAATTTTTTATATTTTCCGAGCCAACAACAAGCCTTATCTAAGTTTTAATTTTCCTTCCTTTATTAAACGAATTACTAATATACCTGCATTCATATTTTAACACGTTGAGTCTCAATGTATTATCAGTGAGCAAATATAAAATGCCAAAAATGGTGAACATAAGAAAACCGATATGCGTTAAATCTTTGCTGAACATACGAATAACTAACGCAACTATAAGTGTCGCAGAGATAAATTCGATTTCTCCGGAAAAAAAGCTAAAATTTTATATATGTAGCTCTTTTACTTATACTATTCTGTTTATCTAAATCGTAGGAAAACTCCTGTGATATATGGACTTCACCACAGGTGAGCTCGGACTCGACGAAGTCTTTCAGAATTGCTTTTAAAAGTTTGTTTTCAAAAATATTTGAAATTAGTGCGATTCGTACTAGGGGCTTCTACTCATATTACAAAATTGTACACAAATTTGTTGTAGATTTTTTATTTTCCGTGTTGTATTTAGTTTCTCATAAGTTTAATAAGCCTATTACGCGATGCAGAGGCTAACATACGTTTCTGTATAATTTATTCTTAATATTGTTGTTTTCTTATACATTTTCTGCAAAATGAATAAAATCAACAAAGAAATATAATTCGTATCATAATAACGCATATGAAATAAAGTAATGCTCGAAAAAGAGTTTTTTTTATGTTTGATTTTACTCATAAACTTAAGTAGCGTAAATTACATGCATTTATATTACACTATAATAGATCAAGTAAAAACTTTTCAGTCGATATAAACCGATTGAATTATACCCTTCACCTTCGTTGTTTTATCGCAATATGTCGAATCTGTGAAACCATTCTATAGAACCTTCTCGGACAGACGACTGCCAAGTTTCAATCCTTGAAACTTTAAAACTACAATTTATTTCATTCCTTCATTTTAAAAATCTATACAAAAAAAAGAAGCTTCAAAGAAGGACGTTTTCTCCTATGCAACTTTCATGTAATTTTTTACATTACAAGTATTGAGTAGGAAGCATTACCATTTAAGCTTCCTGACGTGTATCGTGAAATGGCGACGAGCTCCATCAGCGGGAAAAATTTTGTTTTTGATATATTTGAATATAAATGTTTATAAATAAAACAAAAATTTAATTAAATTTTCAGTGACGTATATTTTTTTTTGTAATTTGTATGGACGTAGATATTTCATAATTGGAATTTTTATATCATTTATTTTTTATTTTAATTTGTTTTCCGCATTTTTTACTTACTCTGAAAATTTCTACCGCACGGAAAAAATAATAATACGATAATCTTATGTGATATGCCGGCTATTATATGATTCAACTTGTACTTGAATAAATAAATAAATGCATAATATTAATTTGAAGAACATTATTCAAATATTTTGTTTTATATTGCTATAAAAAATTTTTTTTAAAGAACATTGTAAAATGTTTTACCAAAGTGTAACAACACATTCAAGAAGAATCTAATTCAAATGTTGAACGAAAGAGACATTTAGATTTTACCAGAACAGAGGACTACCATGAAATTTCCACTCAGAGTCCAGCGTTGATATAAGTATAACTAAAAAAGCTTCCATCAAATAAAGATAAAAAAAATTCTTGGCCATTTTGACTCTTTAAACAACGATTTTCCCGAAAGTCATATTATAAAAACTTGTTGTTTTAAAGAAAAGTTTCGGTGGAAGTTGTAAAAACTAAAAACAACTTTACATCCTAACTTTTAAATTTAAAACTTTTATGTAGCTTTCTTTATTAGTAAACTTTGTTCCTAGGTAGTAAAATAATCAACTATTTATATGTAAAAATATTTAAGGTCATAAGTGTTCTTTTCCTTTCCTTTTACTGTATAATATAATTTAATCACAATTTGTATGTTTATATATTGCTTAAATATGTACATATTATTGTAGGACTTACTATTATTCATTTTTACTTTTGTAAATAGCTAAAAAACTGATTTCAATTTCAACAAAAAATTGAAAAAGAAATATTGTTCTCATAGTTCCAATGTGCGTAATATCTACTATTCTAAAACAAAGTAAAAATTCACAATACGGATGTATTATTTTTATTGTTCCTAGTAATAGTTGTCTAAGTATCAACAACCACACGCAACAAAAAATTTATATATATATCTAACGTCACTGATCGGTAAACTAAATTTCACCAATAATATTTATAACCGAATTTTAACATTCAAATGGTCGAGTTTATTTTAAAAACCTAAAAGGAATCCCGAAAAGAGTTGAAAGTTTGTTCTTCAAGAAATAAGTAAACAAATGATATTTCACTATACTTTATATATCATTTTACTTACAACTTCCCGCATTTTCTTCTGTTCCTCCAACTTTCTTTTTCCCTTTAACTATACCTAAGCGATTTAGCCTTCTTTCAACTCGTCTGCGGGCAATTTGAAATGATTTTCCCAGACCATCACCAGACCGTCGACTTTTTTGAGATGCATGACGAATGAAAGTTGAAGTCACAAGTTCTGGATTGATTTGTCCTGATTCTGGATCAAAACAGGGATCTTTTGATGTACTTCGAAACCAACACCGAACAAATCCACTTAAACGTCCGAATGAATTGCGTTCTGAACTAGAAGAATCTGATAAAAGTGCCCTTTCGCTATGTCGAGGTGTAAGAGATGGTTTAATGTTAGCATTTTTACGTCTTTTATTTCCAACTGGACTTTGGCAGACCTTAAGATCTTCAAACACATCTGTTTCCAATAAATTTGGGGTCTAAAAACGAACATAGATTAAAATTGAATTTAATTAAGGTATATTTTTTCGAGAGACTATTACAACTGCGCAGGTAGAGGAGGTACTTCTCTTTTTTAAAAACATTTTCCGTTGACTTTTTGTATCATCTGATTGCGGAGGAGGCGGGGCTGGTGGTGCTTGTTGTTGTTGCTGTTCCATTTGTGGAATATGTCTGTATATATATCGAAAAAAAAGAGGAAAAGAATTAATTACGATTTTAAAATTTGTAAGTTGCTCTTATATTACCTAATTACTCTTGTAGTTTGCATTACTGGTCCTTTCTTGTGTGGTCGCGGTGTAGCTGCCAAAATACCTGATAATGCCACTCTACGAAAAGGTCCCCCATGAGCACCTTTTACGTAAGTTATCATTTGACGTATTTCGCAATACAAAGCAATATTTTCTTGAACTCTCAATTCTTTTGCTGATTCGACGAATCGTGTAACTAATAATTTAAATATTGCGGACAAAATTGGTGTTTCAGCATGTGCATTCAGCCCACCACTACTGAAATTCGTTGAATATCCACCTTGACCGCCTTCGGAAGTTAGATTTTTAAATCCGGTCGATCGTTTATGATCTATATGCAACATATATGGAAAATTTGAAAAAAAAATAGCATGCAAGCGTCTACTTTTAAGCAAATGATTTTTTACAAAATTTTTAATATTTTGATGTGTGTTAACACGTGCTATGCTTGTCTCTGAACATTTGTATTACATTTGATAAATAATATACATATAAAATATTGAGGTGCTTTCAGGATAATTATTATATTCCAGTTTGTGATATTTGTGCATATTTCAATATTTTTAGCGGAAAGATAAGTGAAATGTGTAGTACAAAAGCCATTTAGAAAATAATATAAATTTATATAAACTAAAAGAAAATTTTATAAAATTCACTTTATACAAAGGACCATCGGACATTTAGAAAATATGTATAAATTGTAATTGTACTTTAATGATGAACTTTGAAAGATTTCAGAAATATATGTATGCAATTTTAGAGGAAAACATGTTCTCTCTATGGATTATTGTTTAACGACTTAATGAGTGAAAAGCGCAAAAAGCTTTTATATATTCATGTACAATATTTATTAAAATTTTCCATGCAAAAGATTTATTACTGTATGCATAATTCATTATCATATAAATAAAGGTGAACTATTCATTGGAAAATGTTTTTTGAAAGATATATTGTATAATTATTCTTATGTGTATATACTTAAAAATTGTACTCACTTAAAGGTGATAACAACGAAGAAGGATCAACGCAATACCCCAAAAATGCATGAAAAAATTCCATTAATTCGGATAATTGAGAATGTTTTACCATATTCTTTAGGAAAGCTTTGGTTGCTGAAGTGGCTTGCCTCAACATTCTTTGAAGAATTTTTTGACATTGGCCGCGTAAAAATTCGGCTGGTGGTCCCCGTATTGCTAAAGTTTTTTGCATATGAATATCATTTATCAATACTTTTATAAATTATTTTATATTTACCATCATTGCACCCATGTGGACACCCTAAATGTAAAAGTGCTCTTTTCACAATTCCCATACAAATTTCATGAGAGTGATCTCCTAATTTCATTACACCTAAATCAAGTAATAATTCACATATATTTATACCAGTTTCAAGTACACGTAATGAACATGTATTAGAATCTCGTTTAAAAATTGTGAAAACACCCAATAATACAATTTCGTAATCAATACCACCATCTCTTGTTATATAAAATGAGGATCCAGGTGCTTCTGACTCATCAGCACCACTGTAATCAATATGAGAATCAGTATGAGATCTAAGCATGTTGCTACGAAAACAACCATTTAAGCTTCCATTACTAATAATATCTAATTGCGAATCAATAGAACCCTGAATAAAACAGTTTAAGTATGATAACAAACAATAAATAAGAATTGTATTTATATGGTTATGCCAAGGGGTGTGCTGGTAAGTTGATCACAACTCGTCTGCATTTAATTAAAGCAGCGTAAATTTATAAAATATATTTTATATACATATACATGTTCGTATAAAATCAATCCAACTAATGCATATTGCTTTTGTCACTAATTTTTATTTAACATTAGCCTTCGTTTTAGCAATGAAAGTGCTATATATACCTTTTAAAAATGAATAACTATATTAAAAAAATAACACGATAATTTTTTTGGTTTCAACTTTAAAATGTTGAGTCAAAATTTTTATCATAATGTCTTGCTTGATTCATAATATTTACCTTTGTACATACATATATTTAAAATAGAATAAAATCTTAAATTATACTATCATCGATTGGGTCAACTACAACACACCTCTGGGCCCCATTGCCTCACCAACCAGTTTTACTTTTATTTTTGCTTTTACTTTTTAGTGTACTTTTTTAAAATGTTTAAAGAAGTACATTGTTTTAATAGTATATGCTTTTTACAGTTAATTAATTAAAAAATAGTGAAAAGTGGTTGGCGCAAAAGCTTCTGGTTATACAATTTTTAATGATAATTTAGTTATTTTGTTTTCTTAAAAGATAATTTGAATTTTATTGTATAGACCTGTCTCTTGATATAATCTGGTGATGGAGTTGGTGTATGTTCTGTAACTGTTATTATCGGATTTCTTGTGAAAAATGTTGTTCTTGGTCCAGTAGATTGTGATGAACGAATTGTTTTTGGGGGTTCGACATACCTGTAAAATCTTCAATAATTTTTGCATTAGCCAACAATAATAGTGCACTATTAATGAAAGCTTATTATTTAATTTAGGAGAGTTTAAAAAGCAACAAATCCGAACACAAACAAAATATTAGTTAATTTTTTTTCCGAAAGAATTTTAATAAAAGTACGGGAACAAATATTAAAATTGATTTCATTATAATAGGACTTGTTATGTTTATATTTATTATGTACATATGTATGTGAATGAAATCAAAATTATTCTATAAAAATTACAAAAATTAATGTGCTATGAAAAAACATTATTACATATTATATTGAGTACTCATTATATTATGATTTTATTATAAAATAGAATTCATGATATTTAATTTATTTTATACACACTTTTAAAATATGTATATAAATATGAAAATAAATTTAAGTACTAAATTATGTTTTTTTTAAGCGATGAGTTAAAAATAAATTACGGCTAATTAGAGAAATTAATAACCTCGACTATGCACATTAACAATATACTTGTTCTTAAGTTTCGTTTTAAACAACAAGTTAAACATACAGAGCTTTCAAAACTTGCTTAGTTGTATCAAAACCGCGTAAGTGAAAAGAAAAAACTATTTTAATGTGCATAATGGTAATAAAAAGATATGTTTGTTTACTTTTGAATTTAAATTTATAAATTAACAAATTTAAATTTATAATTAATCTACTTTTTTTTATTAATCTCAATTTCTACCTTTTTAAATCCATTTTATATTATTCGTTTATTGTAAAAAAAAAAACAAAATTTTTGTGTTGTTTTTTCGTTTGGTATTGCACTCTACTTTGATGTGAATCGTTCAAAATTCAATAAATAAGTGACAAAAAATAACAATAAAGTTGGGTCAAACCAATGGTTTGTATTGTAGCACTTTTCCCTTCAACAAGTGAAAATTCTGCTTTTAAATACAGTCTATGTATACCTATCACACTATTAAAATTATTTTCATTCATATACAAAACTATTTCTAGGATTGCATATATTTAGGATGACGCATATATGCAGTCTTTGAAATAAAGCAAAAATTAATATAAAAAGGGGTTAACACAACGCTCGATTTTAAGGGTTAATTGTGTGAGTTAAGAAAAATAATTATATTTTTTAATTTCATGGAATTTACCGTTAGCTTTTTGTGTTTATAAAAATTTGGAAAAGCTTGCGGTTTCGGAAATATAAGGTGTCAAAAATTCAAATTTTACAAATTTCAAGGGGCGATAACTTGAGAGGGGGTAGAGATGGAAAAAAATTTTCTTCTAACAAAATGAACTATTTGTTAATATCTAAAAGCTCCTAAAATTTCAAGCTTCTACAGTCTGGGGTCCAGAGGAAAAACGACATCAAAAATTTGGAAAAAAAGGACTTTAGATAACGGTAAATTTGAACGGCCATTTTGTTTTTCTAAAGTTTAACTATAGCATACCGCGCAAGGAGAAGCAAGCCACTGCCTTGCTGCGTTTGCAAAATTTCAAAAATGCTTATGATTTCATTGCAACAAATATTTAAAAAAGGCCATTTCTAGGGTTTTGGGGGGGTATAACTTCTAGAGGGGGGAGATAGGTAAAAATTTCGTTCTACGGAAATAAGTTTCTAGTGAAGATCTATGTACGTATTAAATTTCAGCTTTCTATCTTCAAAGGTGTAGAAGTTTTGTAAACAAAAAAAGTGTCCACGGACGGACGGACGGACGGACGGACAGAGTGAAACTAATAAGCACTTTTTTCAAAAAATTTTTTGGAAAAGTGCTAAAAACAGAGGAAATTTTCTTGGTGTTAATATATTCTAACGATCACCTTAAAAAAATTTGTATTCAAAAAAGAAGATAGAAATTTAATAACTACAAAACTAAAAATATAGTATATGGGAAAGAGGGACAAAACATAGTACGAGTATGAAAATTCAAGTAATGAAAGAAGATAACGACACGTGTCGTACCTACTTTCCGAATTATATGTAAAAAATTAAAATTGAACGATTTTTAGAAAAACTATGACATTGAGCTATAACCTAATAACTTGAGAAAATGTCCTTTAATGTTTTTTGTTCTTCTAGACCCACTCTATCAAACTGCTTGAGGAATACCATTGAGCAGCAAACATTTTGTAAAGAAAAATTAAGTAGTTATATTATTTTCTCACTAGCATTTGCATAAATGTTGGACTCATACTAAATTTATTAGTATAATATTTATAAAGCGTATTTTATATACTTTAAATTGTTATAAGAATATTTTTTATATTACATATATTAAGCTTAGAAAAAACAATCTGTTTACAATAAATAATCGTTGGTGTTATAGGTTTCACTTGTGTTCGTAAAAATCTTCAAATTTTTTTTTGTAAATTTATATGTATTTAAAATAATGGAATGCATTGTAATGGAACACTATTCTAATTCAGAGTTATTTAGCACAACAACGATTATAAGAAAATAAATTGTAAACTTTCAATTTTTTATCATTTTTATTTTTAGCACTTTTCCAAAAAATTTTTTGAAAAAAGTGCTTTTTAGTTTCACTCTGTCCGTCCGTCCGTCCGTCCGTCCGTGGACACTTTTTTTGTTTACAAAACTTCTACACCCTTGAAGATAGAAAGCTGAAATTTTATATGTACATAGATCTTTACTAGTAACTTACTTCCGTAGAACAAAATTTTTACCTATCTCCCCCCCCTCTAGAAGTTATACCCCTCCAAAACCTTAAAAATGGCCTTTTTTAACTATTTGTTGCAATGAAATCATAAGCATTTTTGAAATTTTGCAAACGCAGAAAGGCAGCGGCTTGCTTTCCCTAGCGCGGTATACTACAGTTAAACTTTAGAAAAACAAAATGGCCGCTCAAATTTACCGTTATCAAAAGTCCTTTTTTTCCAAATTTTTGATGTCGTTTTTCTTCTAGATCCCAGCCTGTAGAAGCTTGAAATTTTAGAGACTTTTAGACATTAACAAATAGTTCATTTTGTAAAATTTGAATTTTTGACACCTTATATTTCCGAAATCGCACGTTTTTTCAAATTTCTATAAACGCAAAAAGCTAACGGTAAATTCCATGACATTAAAAAATATAATTATTTTCCTTAACTCACACAATTAACCCTTAAAATCGAGCATTATGTTAACCCCTTTTTATATTAATTTTTGCTTTATTTCAAAGACTGCATAAATCGTTCATCCTAAAAATATGCAATCCTAGAAAGAGTTTTGTATATGAATGAAAATAATTTTAATAGTTTGATAGGTATACATAGACTGTATTTAAAAGCAAAATTTTCACTTGTTGAAGGGAAAAGTGCTACAATACAAACCATTGGTTTGACCCAACTTTATTAACTAATAATTTTAAATTTTTATTTATAAGCTCACATAATATTTATATTCTAATTAATACAAATATTATATTCGAATTTATGTTTTGTACTATTATATGTACGTATGTACTTACATAATAATATTTAAAATTATTTAAATTTTAAAAATTATTTCTATTTGTTTAGAATATAAATCTTGATAATCTCTAATAACGACACATACAATGCCCAAGAATAAGGCCACATACTGCCCTGATAAGTGTAAGACCACCGCATTGAGAAATTTATTCGGAAGGCTTCAATCAGCTCAACTACGATATTATTCGTATGTTTTTTCTCAATTTATTTTCTAATAAAATTATTTTTTAGTTTGAAAAAAACTATTGAAGAAATAGGTCCTGATAGAAATTTTTGTTTGCTTAATATTTTTGTACTTTTATTTCCAAATATTATAAGAGAAATTAGCAATCAAAGACATTTAATTATTCCTTTTGGGTTCTTCTAACTGCGTACTTATAGATCCTTAATAGTTAAAAACTTTACTTTTGTATTTTATACATACATATGTATAAACATTAATGTAACCAGCAACATCAAATTATTATTTCTATGCTATGATTTTTTTTAAACTTGAAATAATTGTTGAGCAAAATTTTTTGAATTCTTTAGAATTTTAGACATGCGACAATTTTTGAACTTATATTTTTTATCAAACATCACATTCTTGCAAATTTTACAGTTTTAATTTTTCGAAGATATTTTGTATTAATTCTAAGTTAGCACTGATTATTTAAAATATCTAATACTTTCTTCAATATAAAGATGTTTTCATTTTTTTTTTGCCGAAAAGTAAGATAAAAGTGCAAATACTTAAAACATAAAATGACGGTAAAAATTTTCTTTTTCTTTCATATACATATACAGGGTGGTTCGCATAAGGTGGCAAATAATTTCAGGGATGATTCTTTGACCAATTTTCAGCAAAATATTGTATGGGTGAAGTAGGGGCGCAGATATACTCATTTTCGAGCTACAACCTGTTTACAAAGAAATGTACCGGAGCTCAATTGGTAGAGCGTCGGAGTTCAAGAGGTAGAGCCTAGAAAGCGATATGTCACTGGTTCGAGTTCAGTTCGAGGAGAAAAATTTTTTAATGAATTTTTCTGTCTTTAACTCGTTCCTTTGATTACGTCATCCATTTGTTCTGCACTTGCATGAAGAAATTTCCATTAAGTTAAATTATTAGTGTAATAAGCACATTCTTATTAATTTCGCAACTATGATGTTGTATTAGTAAAATTCATAATATAATTAGTGGAATAGGCACAATCCTATAAATATATATGTTCTTGTTATTGTGTGTTTCAATAGTAGATTGTATGTAGCAATCAATGTAAACAAAACGAATACTTAGTAATCATGTGAATTACAGTATAAAGCAATGTAGAGAACATTTCGTCGGCAATTTCTTCATGCCTCTGTAGCTCAGTTGGTAGAGCGTCCGCCTAGAAAGCGGTAGGTCACTGGTTCGAGTCCAGTTCGAGGAGAAAAATTTTTTAAATGAATTTTTCTGCCTTTAACTCGTTCCTTTGATTACGTCATCCATTTGTTCTGCAGTTGCATGAAGAAATTTCCATTAAGTTAAATTATTAGTATAATAAGCACATTCTTATTAATTTCGCAACTATGATGTTGTATTAGTAAAATTCATAATAAAATATACCGGACTTTTCTTGCATATACAGTGGTCGAAGTGGGATACTCAAAGTGGTGGGATGGTAAAAAAAAAAGGTATTATATTAGTTATTTTTTTAAAAAATAACTAAACAAAGTTTACCAAACTTTGGAAGTAAACTAACGAGAATATTTATATTCAAAGTTAAATCAACTAAAAATTGAATCAAAAACTTTGCAAATTGTTACCAAAGAAATGCATAGACTACTATGTAGTAAGGAAAATTTCATTAATAGAAAAAAATTATACGTTACTATTTGAAATTGGTCTTATTTAAAATTACACATATTTAATTTTTTGTTAAAAAAATTTTTAAAATTCATTAGAAAATTTTCTTAAATTTTAAAAAACATGTTCCGGAACGCATTTTTCTCTCCTATTAAGTAGTGGGATGGATTTCCAATTATTTAAAAGTACTGGGATGGCATCCCACTCCATCCCGCCTCACTTCGAGCACTGCATATAAATAAATGCTTACAACTTCGGAACCATTCAATATAAAGTTATCATTCGGAAACATACAACATAGAGCTTATTTTGCAGGCGATTGATTGCTTTTTATTTTTGGTCTTACAATTGATTTGATTTGAGCCATAGCTTTCGAGATACAGGTCGTCAAAGTCAGATTTTTTTTTTTTTTGAAATTTTTTTTACAAAACTCGAAATTTTTGTCACCTTATACATTTCGTATATTTAGTATAATTTCGAGATGATTCCACCTTATACATTAAGTATGCTGTATACATTTTTTTTAAAACCCATAAAAGGAAAATGCGAGTTTCTCTCTCTACGCGGTGGTCTTATATTAACTAGGGCAGCGGTAGAAGCAAAAAAATGTTTTAAAAATAAACTATTTAAAATTAGAAAAACAATTTTTTTAGAAAATTAATTATTCAAAAGCATAAAAATATTTTTATATTTTATACTATGCTACGTATTTTACTTAAATATAAATTTGTATATATTATGTGAAAAGTTTATTGCTAAAAATTTGATAAAGTACAAATAGAACCAAAACAAACTTACCCGCTATCTACAAGACAGCTGGTAATGAAAGTAAATTATGTATAAAAAGGAAGATGTATAATATATATATATATTATTTATATAAAATATATATAATATATATATATATATATATATATATATATATATATATATATATATATACATATATATATATATATATATTTATATATATATAATATATATAAAATATACATATATATATATATATATATATACAGGGCGATTCATTAATCAGTGACATAATATATAACTTATCATAATTTAGGGCATCAAAAATGAATAAAAATTTTGTTCAGAACTAGCTGTCAAATCTCGACGGTCTCCGAGGTAAAGATTTTTTATTTAGGCAAAATTCTGTAAAAAAACCTTAAAATTTCAAAAAAAAACTTCGAAGTTTTAGCAAAAATGATTTCGTACGAAATTATCGGGTTGGAGAAAAATAAAAAAATAAGAAAAGGGAAAAATTAGATTTTTCCGAAAGTACATAAATACAAATTCAAGTACAAATATCGCTTTCAAAAACTTTTGTTTTGCTTCTTTATTTTTCGGATAAGAAGTTATGGGCATAAATATTCTTTAAAATCCCTGTACCTCAAAAACCGTTCAAATTTTACACATAGTCCTGAACAAAAATTTTACTCTTTTTTGATGCCCTAAATGGAATAATCCTGTATATACAAATATACTTACACTAAATATTACATAATATATGTATACATATATATATATATATATATATATATATATATATATATATATAGGAATATTATGTATATATATAAATATTATGTAATATTTAATGTTTAAAAATTTTATTTGAAATAAAACAATTTGTTCATATAAATATTTTGATTTAGGTTATGCTACAAATAATACATTAAGCAGTTTAAAACAAGTAAAAACGTTTCAGTCGGTATGAACCGATTGAATTATACCCTGCACCTTTCATTATTGTATAGCAATTACTCAAACCTGTGAAACCATTCTATAGAAACTTCACGGATATGTCTGACCTATAACTGAACACACAACTACCAAGTTTCATGAATCTGACTTTATTTTTTTTCCAAATATTTAAAATTAGCTTTTGGAGTTGTATGGCAGGTACCCAAACCTGCCAAGCAATTCCACTAAAACTTCGCTAATATATCTGATCTATAATTGGACACACAACTGTCAAGTTTCATGAATCTAACTTTATTACTTTTCCAAATATTTAAAATAAGCTTTTGGACTTGTTTGGGAGCCACTCGAACCTGTCAAGCAATTTCACCAAAACTTCAGAAATATCTTTGACCTATAATTGGACACACAACTGCCAAGTTTTATGAATCTGGCTTTATTATTTTTCCAAATATTTAAAATTAGCTTGTGGAGTTGTATGGCAGGTACCCGAACCTGCCAAGCAATTTCACTAAAACTTCGCAAATATATCTGATCTATAATTGGACACACAACTGCCAAATTTCATGAATCTGACTTGATTATTCTTCCAAATATTTAAAATTAGCTTCTGGAGTTGTATGGCAGGTACCCGAACCTGTCAAGCAATTCCACTTAAACTTCGCAAATATATCTGATCTATAATTGGACACACAACTGCCAAGTTTCATGAATTTGACTTTATTATTTTTCCAAATATTTAAAATTAGCTTTTGGAGTTGTATGGCAGGTACCCGAACCTGTCAAGCAATTCCACTAAAACTGCACAGGTATATCTGATCTATAATTGGACACACAACTGCCAAGTTTCATGAATCTAACTTCGTTATTTTTCCAAATATTTTAAATAAGCTTTTGGACTTGTATGGGAGCCACTCGAACCTGTCAAGCAATTTCACCAAAACTTCAGAAATATCTTTGACCTATAATTGGACACACGACTGCCAAGTTTCATGAATCTGACTTTATTATTTTGCCGATTATAAAAAATTTGCTTTTGGAGATGTATGGCAGCCACCCGAACCGGTGCAGCTATCTCATTAGAATTTTTAGAGCATATGTAGAATATAATTGGACACATGTATACAAAATTTTACATTTGTACCTTTATTAGTTTTTGAAATAATTAAAATAAACTCTTTGAGTTGTATGGCAGCTACCCGAACCCGTTGTCCGAATTGGTCCAATAACAATAGGGTTCGTCCTTGGCACAAAAGAAGCAACTTGTGAAAGTTTGGTGTCGATTGCATTATTCGTTTTTGAGTTATCGTGCGATCGGACGGACGGACGGACGGACGGACGGACGGACGGACGGACGGACGGACGGACATGTCTAAATCAACGCAGAATTTTACGCTGAGCAAGAATATATATATATGTCCATACCGCAGGTGACTCCTTCAAGTAGTTACAAACTCCATACCAAAGTTAATATACCCTTCACGAAGTGCAGGGTATAAAAAAGAAAGATACGTATGTATGTGCTTAGAATGCACACTAAAGGTTTCTTATTTAATAAACAACAAAATGAAAAGAAAAAATAATGAAACAACGAAAAATATTTGTGTAAAGACATTTAGTTTGAGAAGCGTTTCCAAAACAGTTTAAATACAATTATTTTTTAATGACATTTTATAAAAAACATAATTTTTTGTACAATATTAAGAGATGACAATTCGTATATAAAAAACACTGCATCTTTGTTTGGTCCTTGACATAATATGTTAAAAAAAGGGTGCCCAAAAGTACGCGCAAGAGTTTAATTTCGCGCCATTTATGCGCCAGCCAAAAAGCAAAAATAAAGCGTGATAGCTAACAGTTCAGGGTTATTAAAAATGGAAAGCTACACAAAATAACAATACATTTTTATTGCTGAGCCATATTTTGTATATAATGAAAGTTTGGCAGCAACAGTTCGCAATTTTTGTACAAAATATGAAGCTCATTTTCATCTTGATATTTTTGTTAATTGACAAAATTGTCGTATTTGGGGTTCAGAAGATTCTCAAACGATTGTTGAGAAAAAAATGCAATCGCAACGTGTCACTGTTTGGTGCGGATTTTGAGTTGGAGGCATCATCAGACCATTCTTTTACGAAAAGTTGCTGGTTAGACAAAAATGGTTAATGGTATTCGCCACATCATGTGGGAAAAACATGTTACAAGGAGTGTTACAATAGGAGGAACGAAAACTTAGAAAAGCAATTTTAAAAAATTTTGACTTTGGACTTGAATATCTCTGAAACTAAAAAAATCTTTGCAACCACTGGTACAGCGTTAGAAGAAAATTTCATTGGCTTTAAAATTAGGGTACAAAGTTGGATTTTCCTGTCATATTTTCCGAGTTATAACTAAAAATGTGAAAATTGGCTCCATAACTCGAAAACAAGAGCCCAAAAAGGAAAATGTCACCAGGTGTTTTTTGTTCGTTTAAATGCATTCTATCACCCTGCTTAGGGAATACCATTGAGTTCCAGACACCTGTGTAAGTGAATTTAAGCGCAAAAATCAAATTTGTTAACGTTTTATGTTAACATATTGAAAAAAATTGTATGAAAAGGACGTTCAATTTTTTAAAGTTGTGTCAATAAAACTTTCTCATCTTTTTAAATCTTACATATATGTTAGATAAGAAAAAGTTATTAAGAAAATAGATTGTTTTTAAGAAAATGTAGAAAACATCAAAAATGTAAAATCTCGCATTATATAAAGTTCGCTTACCCAACCATGATATTCTCAAAAAAATTGTAAGTTTATTGTTTTTCTAGCTTGAATTTAAGTATTAAATTTCAAAGAAATTTTTCTTTAAATTCGAAAAAATATAAATTAGGCCCGTAGTAAAATTCCGACTGCTTAATATCTGACTTCCTTCAAAAGTTAGGTGGTTTCTCGTACAGTCAAATGAACTTGTTAAATATTTTCTTAAACATAATCAAAAATGTAAAATCAAAAGATGATGACCATGAAATGTCAAAATGAACTCATTTACTAAATCGATTTAGCACAACTTGAGATACCCGCGTGCATACCGACGGAACGATAGATACATACTCCTCTAAAAATAGTGTATTTGAGCTTCCTATAAAGGAAAAATGCGTTTGCACTGAAAACTCGACATGCGAAATTTGGTACCATCACATAATTGTATGTAATGCGGACGTTAAAAAAGGTAATATTTACAAATTGTGATTGCACTGAAAATACACTTACAATGATATAGTTTCCAGACACATAATGAAATTATGCTTCAAATTTGCTTTTATAACACTGTGTACATGTACAAATATATAAAGTAAACATTTTAATTTATTTCAAACATTTTTGATTTATGTATGTTTTTATTTCCATTTTATTTTGTAGAAATATATAATTAAGGAACTTATTAAATCAAACTAAATTATTTCTCTGACTAGTTTAAAACCACCGCACAACAATGTAAATTTTTCTTTAATCAGTTGAACTTGAATATAATTCCTGTTTTTTTTAAGTAATTTTAAGATTAATTAAAAAAGCGTAGATATTTTTAAGTTTAAAGAAAATGTTAAACATTAATTTCTCAATTTGCTACTTTGGTTTCAAACAACTTTATCGTATGATTATACTAAAATTACATTTTATTTGTATTACATGAATTTGTTATCGTTTAAGCAGAATTGGACGAATAAAAACTAAAGTTTAACGTCGTTGTACTCGAAATAATTTTTTTTACAATTATAATAATAAATAGATACATTCCGGTACTTGTTTAACAAAGCGTATTTGAATATACGAGTACATACATAATATATTAATCTTGGACATTGCAAATGCGCAGCGTAGCGTATTGAAATATGATGATTTATGGAGTTGTGTGACTCCATAAATTAATATGTGACATTCAAACGTTGGATAAATATGATGAAAAGGCTTCGGTTCTAATTGTATTAGCATTAAAAGAAAATCTATTCCAGTATGTGATAAAGGCAGAAACTTCGAATGAAGCATGAGTTCATCATTGAAAAAGGTCATCACGAAAATTCGTTTAATACAAAAAACTGTTTCAAATGAAAAATAAGTCAGTTCAAACAATGACA